CGAATTCTAAGGGGATGAAACTTTCCTTCAAATATTAAAATATTTTTTATTTAAAAACCGGTGAGTTTTTCGGAAAAACTCTTAAACACGTATATTTTATTTTGTTGTTTTACATATTTTAAGATTTTTTATAAATTTATACAGGGTGTTTCATAAAATATGACCATTGAGTAATCACGATTCTGCTTAAACTGCTTGACGTTTAAAGCTGATTTTTGGTAAACAGATTGACTGTGGGGTATAGACGTTCCATAAGGAGGGGTTTCTCGAATCTCAAATTCCAAGAGGGTGAAAACGCCCCTCAAATATTACAATATTTGTTATTTAAAAAACGGTTAGTCTTTCGGGAAAACGCTTGGACAAGCATAATTTATTTGTTTTTTTTTTACATATTTTGAATTTTTTTAAAAAATCATACAGGGTGTTCCAAAAAGTTGGGTAACTTCTTAACCACGATTCTGCTTAAACTGCTTGACGTAAAAAGCTTATTTTTGGCAAACGGATTTTTCGAAAGTCAAATTCCAACGAGATGAAACTACCCCTCAAATATTACCAAGTTATATAATAATATCGCCATATTGTTTTTTCTCATTTTTTTAATTTTTTTTTTAGAACTTTTTAAATCATGCTGACATAAATGTGAGAAAATTTTATCCAGTTTGCATGTTAATGGAAATTCTTGTTTTGCTTTATCATCACCATTACAAATGATTAATTCGACGCGAACGAAGTCGCTGGTACACGCTAGTATTTGTAATATTTTTTCAAGATCTTTTAGGTTAGGTAAGTTTATTTTTAAGTTAAAGACAGTTAAAAATATATCCGTGCATTCTGAACCAAGCTTATACTCTCAGATGCAAACAGAGAAAATTTTGGTCAAATTTAAAGTGTTATATTTTTGTTATTTTTAGACCTATTTCCATTATTTTTTTAGCAAACTGTATATAATTAATCAACTTTAATTCGTAAACTGAGTTTTTTGTATATTTTAGTAATTGGGATATTATACAGGGTTAATCGATGGGTTGTTTTTTATCTTAAATTTAAAACACCCTGTTCAATGATTTCGTGTGTAAATTTTCCTAAAATATAATTTTACTGTAGAACCATATCTCCTGAGCATTTTGTTTTTTGATTCATATCAATACATGCTTTGGTTTATTTTTAAGAGCGAAATGAACTGATCGCAATCAATTTGCAATTTTTTCAGTCATCATTACTTTTGATGTAATTTTTTATAAAGACGCGATGATTTTGGTTAGTGATGGGAAAATCCGATTAATTTCAATAATCCAGTACTCGAGTATCAAGCGATTGGAATAACCGCATCTTGTAAGTACTCGTTAACGCCAAGCGCCAAGCAGTAAGTTGCGTGCACAGGGCACATATTCTTAATGAACGACAAGTAGTAAGCGGCGAGCGATTCGCTTAATCGCTTGATTTAGTTTATTTCGAAGCATTGTCGATGTAGGTCGTAAAATTTTGTCCCTCGCAGATACGCAACGGAAAAATATACCGGGTGCGTCTCAAAAGCGACTCACCTCTATAACTTTTTTATTATTTTTTCAGATAAAACAACGAGATTTGGCATGTAGTATATGACATAAATTAGGATTGATTGACATATTCAATTGTTTTCGGTCACTTCCGGTTTCACAGGAAATGATTACAACTTTTGATTTTTAAATGGCACCCTCGGTATTTTTTTACTTTATTCAGTAGAAAATGACACTCTGAATAGAATGACATATCACATGTCAACTTTTGACATTTTCGCATATGGTTTATTTGAAATTGTAACATGCGGTTTATAACGACAATTTGACTCGAAGTACCAAGTGTGTGGTATAAAATGATTCGTAAAAAAATTCTTTTTCGAAATATGCTAATGAGCCACACTCATTCCATTTGAAAAAAAAGAGATATGGTCAAAAATACGATTTGGGCATTTTTTAAACCGGCCAGGGGCGCTATTCTGTACAATCGTCGGAATCTGCCATAAGACCGATCGGTAACTATGACAACAACAATTAACACATTTTTACTATATTACATGTATTGTGTTGATTGTTGTTGTAATAGTTACCGATCGGCCCTATGGCAGATATCGCAAATTTGAACCGACGACTCTCGGTATCTCTACGGTGAGGTTAACAAGGGCACGGTAGAGATACCGATTTTCATCGGTACAAATTTGCGATATCTGCCATAGGACCGATCGGTAACTATGACAACAACAATTAACACATTTTTACTATATACAAATACGTATCGAGAGCTGTCTTAACTTACCGATACCGACGATTTTACAGAATAGCGCCCCAGGGCAAGACACTAAAGACATTAGACGATCAAATTTATTTTTCCAAGGCTCCTTGCTTAAAAATTAGTGTTTTAACACAGCCATGGCACTCTAGATTGAAATTTAAAATACAATTTGTTTTTGAGTGAATATGTCAAAAGTCAACGTTCGTCGCTTGGCACTCGTCACTTGCATCGCTCGTTCATAATCGAGCGATGTCGGTTATTTCAATAATCGAGTACTCGAGCGAATTTTCGCTCGAGTTTTCCATCACTAGTTTTGGTGATTATTGTCGTAACGTCATATTACGCTGCATCGGATACTCTATACTAAATTTAAAAAAAAACGTTAAAGACTTAACATTAATAACGATAACAGATCTAATAATATTAAGAAAAACATCTGTAACACTGAAGTATACAAACAGAAAGAAAAATGTAAAAAATACACTAATATCTTGTATTGGCTCCCCTGCTATAACTGCCTGTGTATGTTTGTTCATACCAGGGTTGGAAAAAATCATGATTTTTTTTAAAAAATCAAAAAAATCAGATTTTCTTGATTAAATCAGATTTTTTTGATTTTAATAGAAAACATTATTTAAATCGGATCTCCAAATAATTAGGAATTAATTTCAAGTCCTGTCCTAAATGGCTAAATCTTCGTAACTCTGCCCGATACTGACAACATTAACAATTCTACGGCGCGTGTCATTTTTTCACATCAGTCACCAATATACTCCGCAAAAAAAGTCGCTGGCTTCAGATCAAAAGGATGTTTTTTTGAAATGTCACAAGATTATTAATTTTTGTCATTTCAACACCTAGGCATAAAAGTAAAACACTTTTACACCTAAGCACAAAAGTACAAAAATATATTATTAAACTAATTATTAAGCGTCAATTTCAACGAGTATACAAATTGCTTCGCGATTACTTAAAAAGTATTACTTTTTATATTATTTGCAACGTTCGAAATTGATTAAAAAAATATTTGTAATATTTTAAAAAATATAGTGTATTCTACTCGGAGTAAAAATGTACTTTTGTGCCTTCCTGTTTACTCCTTACACAATTTGTTCTTCAATACACTATTTTTCGGAAATAGTCTTAAGTCGAGAATGAAATTAGTATTCTCTATTGTCAAAGTCTAAAATACTGCATATTTTCTGACAATCATTTGAAGATATAGCCGAACATCAAAACAACCTTTTTCTGCACTAGGGAGTTTGCGAATGAAATATATTCGAACAACATTTTTATGTCACTTGTCAATAAATTTCAAAATAAATCCCTGCCTTTTAGAAATCTAATGGATTCACACGAAAATACTCCAAAAATCCAGATAATTTTTCGATTTATTAAAAGTATTTAAATATTACAATAGCAAGTGTAACATTTTCTTTAATGAATAGATATAGGGTATAACTGTTATAGAAATATTTTTTATAGTTTTCTAGGACACATTTTTATATTTATTACAGTTATTTTTCTATTTATTGCAAAATTTTAAAAAAGTTGATTTTTTTATTTAAATCACATGATTAAAATTAAAAAAATCACTTGATTTAAATCATGATTTAAATCATTTGATTTAAATCATGCCAACCCTAGTTCATACGGTCATTGAGGCTGCATATATCATATTGCGTTATATTTTTCCATTCTTCTTTAAGGACCAAGTGAAGTTCATTTAATGAGGCTGGTAACGCTTCGCAATCTCTAACCCACCTGCCGAGCATTTCCCAAACGTCGAACATGATGGGCAGTTCATAGTAGTATATAGTTCACAATAATCACCAAAGCTGCCTTGTCATATTCTTAAAAAAAAATTCAAAATTTAATTATAATTGAAAAAATTGCAAACTGTTGGTGGCAAGTTCATTTAGGTCTTAAAAATTAACCAAGCCATATATTGACATGATCCAAAAAAAAATGCTTAGGACACATGGTTCTGACCTTAAAATTATATTCCAGGGAAAACTTACCCACGAAATTATTGCACGAACTTGGCGGGGGCACTGCCGTGCCTCCAGATATATTTATATACAGTTTACCAAAAAAAATCATAAAAATTCGACCAAAAAAAAATATGACACTTTAAATTAAAAAAAAAATCCGGGGGGAAGGAGAGGGAATTTTCAAATGTTTTTGATTAGTCACAAGCAATTTCTATTCTCGGATAAACGGAGGCATGACGATACAAAAAGCTTAAAAGCTAAGCTTTATTTTAAGCAGTAATTAAAGTGTTATATTCAATCAATAAAATTAAAATCGTATTATTAATTGCTGGCTACTGGGTGCATAAAATACGCGTATAGTGTGTCATATGCAAGTATATAGTTTATTGTAATTATAGTCCTGTAATCTGTAATAAAGTATTTTATTGTTGGTTTTGTTAAGGTCTTAGAGAATCGGTAACAATATGATTTTATCAGCTATCTTTCAGGTAGTTTTAATTGTCGTTTTTAAACCTGTTACAAAAACTCTATTATTCTATGCCATCCTCTTCACAAGCCTCGCATTTTGAATTTTCATCACTTTCCCGCGCATTTTTCTCATCCATCCTACTCCCCCTCACTCATTCCATCTCCCTTCCACCGTTTCGTCCTTCGAAATCGATTCGCCGTCGCCGTCCACGTCGCGTCGTCCGGGGACCCACGTTGTGCTTTCGACGAGCGACGCCGGCGTCCCGACGACAAAAGGACGTCGATCGCATCGGCCCGATCAGTCAGAATGCAGCCGTGGCGGCGCTCGGTCATCGGCTGCTCCTCGGTAACAAGCGTCGCGACGACGTCGTTGTTGTTGATTTGCGGAAGGGGGGTGAGTACCCCTCGGCCCTTGGTGGGGGCGCAGTAGATGGGGCGGGCAGTGACGGAACGACGACGATGGTACCGTCGCCGCCGCCGCCGCCCCCGGTGGGCCACGGACGCACGGAGGATCAGCCGGATTTGGCTGCGGTCGGGTCAGTATTATTCACCTATTTTTGCCAGATTTATAATAATGATAATAAATGATGTTATTTATTAATTACCACAAAATATATCAATATGAGAAAATCGACGACATTCGGCATTAAGAAGCTCTTTTATTCAACCAACTTCGTGCTAAAAAAAAATAAATGATATCCACAAATTTTGAATTAATTGTTATCACGTACACTTTATATTACTATTCAGTGTTTATTTGTATCTTTTTTGGAAAATATTATTATCCAGGGTGTCCCAGAAATAAGTGCAAGTAGTTTAACTGGTAGTATAGTTCAACCCCAGAAACACGCCTAACAGTTTTTTTGCGAAAAATTTTTTTTCAAAATTCTAAATTTTTTGAAAAAATTTTTGGATTTCTTTTTAGTTACAGAACATAATTTCTTGATAATATGACAACATAGGTATTAGATTAAATTTACAAGATAGAAAATCCAGAAAAGATCCAGTGGTTCTCAAAATTTTAGTAAAAAAAAGATTTTTTTTTGAAATTGTCAAAGTAAAATAACTCCGTTATCTTGGACTTATTTGGAAAACAGTAAAGAGAAAATATGTTTCTTTTGTCGAGATCTACCAGCCCTTAAAATACTGGCACTTATTTCTGGGACACCCTGTATAAGAAAAGAATTTTATAGGCTTAAAAATAAAATAATTTTTTTTCCATAGCAACTGTTAAAATTGCCTTATATCTATCAAAAATAGTAGATAAAATAGTACTTTAACAGCAAGGGTAGATTAAATGATACTTTAACAGCGAGGATAGGAAAAAAAATTATTTCTTCTCGCACGTTTTTTAATTGCTTCCATTTTTGAAAATGTTTGTATCCCTTTTCATAAGTTATTCGGGATTTAAATGGAAGTAGTTTGGATATGGCGTTTGTCGCCTCAGCCTGAATATCTGTTGATAATTTACTTATTTCGTTTTGAGCCATTTCTGGCCCGAATTCAATCAGCAATCAACACGAAAGAAAATTAAAAAAAATATTGACTCAAAACTGACAACTAAAGAGACAGCTTTATTTATTTGTCAAATTACATAGAAACCAACAACAACGCCAACCCAGCATAATATTTTTTCAACTCGTAATCAATTTCTTGAAATAATAATTTCTGAATATTTTTTAAAACGTAACTCGCTATGGAAAAAAATATTGTTTTATACACGACGATAAAATTGCATTATCTTCTCCCGAAATTACTCGCGATTTCATCGCTCGTGAATTGATCTTTTCGATCGACGATAAAATACCATTTTATCGTATTGTATAAAAAAACTATTAAATACAGTATGTCCCCGGATTGTCTTTACAAGAGGAAAACCTTTTTTATTATAGTAATTTCAGAAAATTGAATTCTTTACAAAAAAATTTGCTTCTTCAATAATTGCTAATTCCGTTTATACTTTTCCAAATTTGCATATCATTTTAAAGAAAATAAAAAAAAAAATTGCGCCGGGAGGCACGTATAGCCGCCCATACTAAAATATGTTAATAAAAGTTGGTAGGTAGTTCTTTTAGTTTCAAAGTAAAGGAATTTTTCAATTTTTTTTAATCTCAAAAACTGCGACTTTGACTGATTTTGATGTTATTACAAATTTTATTGCAAATAGTATTCCTAATCTTAAATTGAAAACCGCGTTTCGCTAGCTACTGTAATTTTGGAGTTTTTTTTTGAACGAATTGAACGATTTTTTTTTAATTTTAACCCCCTCCCATGCCCCCTTATCAACCCCCACCCCCACCAAAAACTAATGGCCAGATTCTCGGGTACCCCAGTATTTTTGTGCCAAATTTGGTTAAAATCGGTTTAGCGGTTTTTGAGTTATCGTGTTACAGACAGACGGACAGACGGACGGACGGATAGACAGACAGACAAACCGAATGAAAATATTTTGTATTTAGGTCATTTATGACCCAAATTACTAATTTTGAGTGAAATTAAAAAAACTTTTTTTGCCGATCTTAATAGCCTACCATACAGTGGCGGATACAGGAATTTATTTTAGGGGGGGCCCAAAATAGAAAGTAATGTAGAATATGCTCTTTAGGGTGCCATTTTTAACCGAAAAGCCTAATAATTACCACAATTTACAGACATTAGGGGGGGCCCGGGCCCCATGGGCCCCCCCTCTGTATCCGCCACTGCTACCGTACCTGTTGGTATGGTCGGCTAAAAATCATTAAAATATGGTTGCATTTTTTCCAAAAGTCCTAAAAAATCAAAAGGCGCTTCAATGGAAATATAATTTCGAATGCATTCTTTCACAGATGGATATTATTAATTTTGATTAACATCATAATATGTTTTGCTGTTATTAAAGTAACACATTTTCCGAAACTAGTATCACCCTTTCCCAGTGCGCATCTAGATATTGAAACTCAGAGAGGTAGTGACAATATTTAAATAAAGTACTAAATTAAAATTATATTTACGCGTAGGGTAGAGGTATTGTGACTGTAAAAGAAATATACCTGGATTGGTTTGGATATTCTATTTTAATTGATATTATTACCTCCTTTTGTGATAATTTTTATGTTATCACATTTTATCTTCCCCATTACTCCTCCCGTATATACACCACTGTCCTTTCCGTAACACTAATTCGAAGTTGGTCAAAGAATGCCTAGAGAAGCTCAACAAATTAGGCAAAGAAAATAAAGTCCTCCTACTCTGGGTGCCTGCTCACCAAGGGATAGAAGGCAATGAAAAAGCAAATGATCTAGCTAGGAAAGGAGCGAACACTCCACTAACTGGACCAGAACCGTTCTGTTTTCCAAACGGGAACCAACTGAAAGCGGAACTGAAGAATCTGGAAGACTCCATCCGTAACTTGGAATGGGTGTCCTCCACCGGTCTAAGACACTCGAAAAAGTTCCTTAGAACTTATGACCGAGAAAAATCAAAGGTTTTCCTTGATTTAAGTAAAAACAATCTTCGGATTGTCACGGGGTTTCTAACAGGACACTGTCTCCTCAACGAACACCTAGTAGGCTGAAACTGAGAAACAACGGCGAATGCAGATTTTGTGGGGAAAATGGGGAAACACCAGAACACCTTATCACTGAGTGCGCCGAGACGACGACCATTCGTGCCATGAACCTTGGCACGTCTGATGTCGAGGATGGAGAGCTGGCCTCTGTGGAGCCGTCTCAGATACTGGATTTTCTTAAAGCCCTGAGACTGTATGATGAGTTATAACTCGTTATAACTCAAGAAAGGGGAACACACAATAGATCTATAAGGTCGCGGTGATTAACTCCCCTTCTAAACATTCTACATTCCGTAACACTGATGTAAATTTTGTGATTCTTTAATTTTTTAAAACAACAAAATATAATTCTTAATCAAGGTGACTTGGAAAAATAAATTTGATCGTCTAATGTTTTTTGTATCTTCTCCTGGCCAGTTAGAAAATGCTCAAATCGTATTTTTATTCATATCTCAATATTTTCAAACGGAACGAGGGTGGCTCATTAGCATTTTTGGAAAAAATATTTTTTACGAATAATTTGAAACCACTCACTTGGTATTTCGAGTCAAATGTTCACTACGAACCGCAAGTTATAATTTCAAATAAACGATATGCAAAAATGGCTAAAGTTGACATATGATATGTCATTCTATTTAGAGTGTTATTTTCTATCGAATAAAATAAAAAACTGCCGAGGGTGCCATTTAAAAATCAAAAGTTGTAGTCATTTCCGGGAAACAGGAAGTGACCAAGATCGATTGAATACGCCAATCAATCCTAATTTATGTCATATACTAACAAACCAAATTTCGTTTTTTTAAATGAAAAAAGCTATAGGGGTGAGCCACTTTTGAGAGGCACCCGGTATATTAAAGAAAGAAATCGAAATGCACTACCGTAGAAACGTGTTTTATTTTTAGGACTTTTCAACAATATTTTCATGTTTTTATTAATTTTCTATTAAACGGTATGGAAATTTAGAAAAGTATAAACGGGATTAACCATTTAATAACAAGCAAAATTTTTACGAAAAATGCATTTTTCTCAAAATGTCAATAATAAAAAAGCTTTTCTTCTTGTAAAGACGACTTCTTGCAAAGACGTAATAAGTGTATATTATTATTATTGTTTTATGGTGATTACAAAAATGTGTTAATAACCGCTAAGAATATGTTTATTCAAAAATTATATACGCCTTGATATTATATTACAAAAAAATATTTCGTTAAGATTTTGGTTTTTGGAAAATATATTTCTGTTTTAGTGGCAAAGCATCCAGCTTTTTCGGGAATGAAAACGCTGCAAAAGTTTAAAGAAATCAACATTTTTTTGTCGAAAAAATTTGATTGGAATCAAACCAAAATATCTGTTTAAAATTACTACAGGGTGTAATTTTTTGAGTACCGAGAAAGCTTTATATCAAGTTATTAGTTTGAGACTTTTGCTGTAATCTCTCTTATACCCCGTTGGCAAGCAAACCTTTAAGTCGGCGTTTACATGTATAGGAGTGAGTCTTTATGACAATCTAGTAAGTCGAGTAAGCAAAAATACGAAGTATTTATTATGTAACTACTTAATCTGAAGTTAGATTCCATGCGCTTGGAAAAATTCTCGCCTTCTGTCTTTATTCAGTACATCTTATTTTACTAAGCGTGTTGGTCGTACTCTTCGTACACATGAAAACCGGCACCCAAGACCAGAAATGCCGACCTTTAGTAAAATACAGGGCGAGTCTTAAATAAGTGCAAATATTTTCAGGGCTGGTAGATCTCTATAAAAGAAACATATTTTCTCTTTACCGTTTTTCAGATAAGTCCAAAATAATCGAGTTATGTAAGTTTGAAAATTAAAAAAAATGATTTTTTTTGAAAAACTTTTGAGCATCCCTTTTGTTGCCGTAACCATAGAGTAAAGCCGTAACTATGATAATATTAGAGATTAAGTAATTATACCGTGGGAAAATTTGCGGTAAACAGGCAGTTCTAAAAAGTTTCCGAAAATATACAC